TGGAGTGTAAGAGGGCCTCCTAGAAGCATCTCCCAGGCTACTGTGTGTATCCAGAGTCCCAGGGGATTACCTACTGATATCTGAACTGTACCAGCAAATCCTTATCTATACAATCTCATTGTATACTGCTGATGTTTCAGGTGTTATCTAGTTTGACAAACTTCTAGTTGGTTTGAGCTTTGGCAACTAATCAAAAATGTCATTCTTTTAGTAATCTATACAAGAATGGTTTTTATTTAGAATGTCTTTTTTGTTATAAGATTACTAGTGTAGTCTGAATGTATGTATGTCAAATTAATACCATCATCTTCAAATAATTTGAAAAGTATCTTTTCAAAGTATGAGTATATTCAAAAAGACATTTTCTCCTTAGGTTCCATTCTTACCATTTTTGCCAGCATTCAGTATCCTAGTGAACATTTATCTGATGGTCCAGTTGAATGCAGACACCTGGGTCAGATTCAGCATTTGGATGGCACTTGGTAGGTCTTTTAACATTTTATCTTTCAGACCCTTGACACTCTCCACATTTGTGGTTAGAGAACTACGTTCTCCCCTTTCCTGGAAATAAAGAACCTTTTTTTTTTTTCTGTTTCTTTCTATCCCAACTCCTATCTTTAGAACATATGAGTGTTTTTCCAGATAACTTTGGGCAGAAAGTGCTGGGGTTTGAACCCAGGACCTCAGGCATGTTAGGCAAGTGTTCTGAGCTATTCCCTGACCTCTCAGGTGCCTTTTTAAATTCAAATCTCCCAGTAACCATGCAGAACCATGTAAATTTTTATGGATAAGAAAAATAAAGTCCAAAAAAAAAAAAGCCCGAAAGAGTCATTTCAGCATAACTTAAAGTTCTTGTCCAGGTTTTAAAAAATATAACTAAGACACATAAGACAGTGCCTTCTCTCCATGCAGTTAGCATGGCTATTAAATACAACTGCTTTCTACAGCTCCTTTTGCTTTCCCTATGAAAGTGACATATAGAAGGCATGTCCATTTCCTTTGTTAATACCAGATATGCTTTCCAAGATAGCTGACAGAGATGTCCGCTTGTGTTTATTAGGATATAGTTTGTTTATTTATTTATTTATATAGTTTATTTCTTTATTAGGGTATATATTAGGGTATTATGATATAGTTTTAGTTTTTGCTCCATTTACCATTTTGTTTAAAGTATGGCGTTAAGTTTTGAGAACATAAATCCAAATTTTTTTCTACATAAACATTGTCTGAAAAACATTTATTTAGAGAACAGTGCATTATCTAAAGTTCGGGGGTTACAAATAAAGAGGGACCTTCTACTGAGAACATTTATGGAGCTAGTCCTAATGTGGTGTCTTATTTTTGCCTTCATTTCTCCTAAAGTAGCAGAGAAAAGGCCTATTAAGTTCTGTGCTAAGTCTCCCGTACCACAGCGGGTCCTTCCAGTCACACCTAAAGTGTTGATTTTTATTTTTCTCTCCCAAAAGGTTTCCTGATTTACTTTGCTTATGGCATTAGACACAGCCTGGAGGGCAACCCAAGGGATGAAGAAGAAGATGAAGCTTATTCTGACATTAATGCAACAATAGAAGAAAAATCTGCTATTCAAGCAAATGACCACCACCCAAGAAATCTTAGTTTACCTTTCATATTCCATGAAAAGACAAGTGAATGCTAATGCTTGTAGGGGCGGACTGGGTCCGCAGTCTTAACGTGCATGTCCTACATTGAGTAGACCATGACAGTACGTCATCATCCTGCTAGATTGTCATGGGCTTGCTGCATACATAATTCACCATAATTTATACTTACTCATCTAACCGACATCTCCTTATATGGTGAATTATGGGTTCTCTCCTCAGCAATGAATATCCCCAAAATAGTGTGAGTGTGTATGTGGTTGGGAACATAAATGTTAAGACTCAGTTGGTGTTTTACTCTTGTCTTGTGACATTAGTCCGGTCTTGTCGTAATTGGTGGTATATCACTGAAAAGTGATTTGTGTATGCCCTGTGGTTGGGAAGTAATAGTTGCTTTTCTTTATTACTGTAGGCCTCATCAGTGTCAGTTTAGACATGGTTAAGAGGGTTACCCATCCTGATTTCTAACCTTGGACAGGGATCAGTTGAGGGAATTAGAGGTGAGCCTTTTTCTATAAGTTACAAATGTCAGCAATGGGTTTATACAAATATGTTTTCCTACATGGTATGATACTTGCTTAAACTGTAGCCAGTAAGACTACTTGCTCCTGCTGCATTATAGGACAGAGTGGCATGCCACGTCACTGTTGGCATCCTTCTGAATTCCTGACTTTGTAAGCCTGTGGTCCTTAAATACAAGGCCTTCACCTGCTGTGAATGTTATATCCCCTCCTCCCAATGAGGAGCTTAGGAGAGGTACTGTGATCTAATTGGGACCCTTAAAACTAAAAAGACACAAACACTAGTGTCAGTGGCTATGAGGCTGTCTTTGAAAATCAGAGTTGGACATGTGCTTGGATAAGTAGACATCAGAGTTCCCTCTTTTAAAGTAATTAAACCAGTAAATCTCCCACAGTGGTAGAATGATCCATGTTTTTTCCTATCACCTAACATCTAAGCACGGTTCACCTGTCTTAACCTCATCAGGTGCAGAATTCACTCCTTTGTTTCTACTTGTTTTATCCTAGATGTGGGGGCATACAGAAGTGACTTCTGTTTTCACAGTGTGTACTAGAGGAATGTTGGAGAAAGTTATCATATTCTGATGTTAAGTGGTCTACCTAAGCATTAAAGAATTCTTTGATCCATTTAAGTGATTTAGGTCTAATTTGCTTCTGATGTTCTCTTGGAAACAGGTATGATTTTCTCTCCCACACATAAATATTTACACTTTTTATTTTAAATGTGCAACTAAGGCTATTAATACAAGATCCAATATTCTACATTAAGTCAGTGAGTAGGAAAAATACTTTGGCTTAAGAACATGATTATTTAAAATATCAAGCTAAAAAGTTAGCCAAATTGAATTAAAACTATACAAACACAATGACCGTTGTATGTGAGTAAAAAAAAAAAAATTGGTGTAAGATTCTTGAATTAGTATTACTTTTTCAGTTTATTATCTTCACTGTGTTTTTCTCTTAATGAATTTTTTGTACGAATAGTTTATTAGATGAAGCTAGATGCTGGACGCTTACATGTGAGTGACTTTCCCAGGACATTATAGGGATCATTACCAAGCATACTAATTATTATTATTATTTTTGTAATCCAAAGGCAAAGAAAACATCTGTTTTCTGACAAATCTATGAGATCAGTTACTTCACTGATACTGTAAAAAACAAGTCACACTTACTTCATATAACCCAGAGTTTATTGTGATGAAATACAGGATAAATCGGTAGAACCTGGGGGCTTCGGGCTGCTGCTGTTGTAGCATCCCCGACACTGCTTTCCTGACATTCCAGTTTCCAGGATGAACATGGTAAAATCTGAAGCCCAGAATTCTCTTTCAGGTTTGCTGTTTTACTGAAGAGGAGGAGGAGGAGGTAGATAAGCAAAGGGTAAAATATTTATGCAAGGGCTTTAGGCATATCACAAATGTTTAGCAATATAATGAGGACTTTTTAAATTCTATAATCAGTCCAGAATGGGGCCTTCACCCAGGAAATGAATAATTTCATATATGAATGTTTAAATCTGTCACAGAGCCACAAGATTTTAGCATGTGATATGTACCTGAAACTACTATGCTGTGTTCAGTTAGAAGAATTAAGTTAAAAATTCCTTTATCCGGGGCTGGGGAGATGGCTCAGTGGAATAAGCGCTTCCCTGGCAAGCACAAGGGCCTGAGTTCAATCCCCAGTTCCACCAAAAAAAAAAAAAAATTCTTTTATCCATATTCAAACACTTCAAAAATACAAATATTTATGAAGAGATTCTTTGTTGATGACCATATTGTGTTTTTTCTGTGAAGACTCAAGTATGCATGTTTGTATGTAAGTAAACATGTTTACATATGTTGTATATGTGTATAAGTGAACATGTTTCAAGTATCAGTGTAAGTTGGAATTGTGATGGGCTTTGGATATGACTTTGTGTTGACAAAAAGCTCAACTTGTGGAGAAAAAGAAATGCTTTATATTGATACATATTTTAGGTTTTAAACTATTTTAAAATATACAATTTTATATGTATGTTTTCTGTATGTAGCTTCTTTAAGAAATATTTATCATGTTTCTAATATAAACTTACCTAGTACATAACAGGTGCTTTGTAATCTGAATGGATGGGGTAGAAGACATTGGGGTATTCCTGTTTACTTGTTTCTTTTGCATCCTTTCTTTGAAGCCCATCCTGGTGTTCATTAGTGAAAATCAGCTTTTTGCCACTTGTCTATTCCTGCATTTGACTTTATAACCCTTTGAACAAAATGTTTTTACTTTCTTATCGTTACTCTGTATATAGGTTTGACTAGTAATCAAGATTGCATAACATCTACTTTAAAAATTTTAAACATTTGTATACACATTCTTTTAATTGTGACTGAGCAAAAGCAGCTTACATTACTCTTCTTTTGTTACACTAGGAACTATGCACTTAGCATTTTTAGTGAGGGTTTCTCATAATAACACTTTGGTACTCTTAAAAAAGAATCATTTGTGAATTCCCATATAAAAGCATCGCTGCCCCTACAGTTACAAGGTATCTATGAAAGCTTTAATAAAATAAAAACTTACAGGAACCTTTGATATATACCAAAATACATATACTGGTATATTCATATTTTCCCCAGAGATAAATGCCAGGAGAACTAGGAACAACTATCATTTGACTATCTCAATGCTAATATATAAAACTTTACTATTACCAACTATAGTTGACCAAAAAACCTAGTTTCTGAATTATCTTCTAAAGGACGTGCCTGTTTTATCTTACTGTATGAGAATAAAATATTTTTAAAACTGTCTTTTAAATATTAGCAAAATATTTTCTGAATACTAGATATTAGCAAACAGTTCTTCAAAAACAATTTAATAAAACTCTTTTACTTAGAGCCTTTTTTAAAAAAAAAATTTTTTTAATTTATTTGAGCACTGAACAGGGAAATATAATTATCCTGCAGTGCTAATGATGACGGAGAGAGCACCTAAGCCTTACCTTCTTTCATAAATTGAAGTGTATCATGAGATTACAAAATACATGATGAGGTTATCCCTGGATGCTGTCTGGCTGGCTCAGCCTTCCTTGCAGCGTTTGTTATTCATGATTTCTCTTTTTAGTCATTGAGTGACATTCAACACTGAAAGTATAATTTCCACAGCTTGCAAAAGACTAGATTTAGAGTGTGTATCATGGCTTACTGGAAGTCATGATGTAATGTGATTAGTGTAGTTTTTGGTGGGGTGGATGTAATTAGCCTTTTCACTGATGCCAAAATAGTGCCTTCTTTGTACATTTTCTACTTTATAAAGTTCTTTCATGTACTTACATATCGAGGGGGAAAGTACTGAAGTTTATGTAGTAAATAATGCCTTCAAAGTCAACTGTTCAGTCATATAGATGTAAAGATAAGGGTTTTTGACTTTGTTATTTAGCTGAGCATTTTGTTCCTCCTTGCGTAATTATATTTAAACACTTCAGTTTTTTTGGATTTCAGGTTTGATCTGTCATTGTTGTGCTTGGTTTGGATGTTGGTTTTTGTAATATTCACTTTTGTTTATGTGTGCACAGTTTATTCTTACTGAAATGCATGCCTTGCCCCACTCTGTAACGCTGCTGCTTGGGAGCATTCTGCTTGGAGGTTATTCACCATGACTGAAGCCAGTGCCACAGACTCGGGCCTTAAACACCCTTTCTGACCACCACCACCCAAAAGAGATCAAAATTAAGACACCAGCCTCGGTCCAGGGATGGGCAGCCTGCACTATGAGAGTATTTGTAGCTAACGATTGGTATAGTGGAGTCTTAGAATGACAGGGCAAAATATGATTAAGAGGAGTCAAATAAAAATAAGGTCATTTGAGGACCTTAATTTCAGTTCCCAATATCCCATGAGTATGACAAGATGAATAAGGACCAAGGGACATCTATGACTCATGGAAAGATGGCTGCCTCATGGTGCTTGCATCCCAGAGCCTGGCCCGCTGCACTTCCTGGAGACACAGCCAGCCTGACAGTGCCAATGGCATGGCCAAGACCCAACTGGTGAAGAACTTTTCTGCTGTCCACAGGGTTGGTTTCTGGCCATGCCTGGCTGATTTCCCTTCATTTTTTATGTACACTAGCTGTGCCCAGGTCTTTCATCGCTTTATTTTGTTGTCACTGTACTTAGTAGAAATTGTTCACAGGGCCTAAACCACACAGAAATTTTGTCCACAAAACCAGCAAATACATTGAATTTCTGTGAATGTAAAGATTTTTTGATAGTGATTTTAAATTTAATGTTTAAAGTGATAATCAGTGTTGCTTTGTACTTATAAAGTTGGATTCTTTTTTTAGAATTTTTAATAAACTATTGCGTTTGACCTCTGTAAAATATGCATTCTGATATGACTATGTATTTTTAAATAAACGTTAATATAACTTACAATAATTTAGTATGCGTATGTGTCCTAAAAACCATGGCATCCATTTTGTACTGATCTAACTTGAAAACCTTTTTCAGGAATTTTAAAGTTCTTGAATATAGTCTGTAGTAAAGCAATTTTATGATACCTAGCTCCAGAGCCTACTGCATGATTACCAAATCTGTGAAATAGGTATTTTTACAACATTTTACAATATATACTTGTATAAAACCTCATGCACCCCACTAGTATGTACAATTTTCATGTTAAAAAAATATTATCAGTTAAAACTTTATCAGTTAAAATGCTTCTTAAAGAAATGAAAAATATTTTCAAATATCTGCATGGCACCTTCCAAAACTGCCTGTTACTTCTAGTGTGCCATCCCTAGACACACCTCAGATGTCTTTTGTTTCAGCTGTCATTTAAAGGATCATTCGCTTTGCTGTTCCTCAGATCTGCAACCTCCATTCCTCAGTGTTCCTCCCACCAAGAACAACCTGTATTGGTCATCACTTGTAACTAAAATTTTTGGACATGGTAAATGTTGACCAACTTAAGCTATTAACCCTTTGACAGGGAGCGTTATAGCATGATTTTTAAGTTATTTAAAATTACAAATCACTTAGCTTAATGTTGACATGTCTTTGTGTATGGATAGTACTACCAAGTTGAAAGAAATACATTGATTTAAAAAACTTTAGTAAAACCAAGCTAATGTAGCACAGTATGTCTAGTAATTGGCTTGATTAGCAAATGGGTTTGGGTACACCCTTGCAGGGAAGAAATCCAAGAGCTATGTCTGGGCTGTGGGTTCAGCTAAGAACAGCAAGGTGGGAACATCAACTCCCTAGTGTTACTAGGATTTCTTTTTTAGGCTGAGGACTCAAAGTCTGGAATGTTGAAAAATTGTGCTGAGAGTTCTCAACTGTACATGTAGAAAGAGTGATTCATTTCATCTCATAAATTATCTTTGAGGGGCCAGGGAGATAATTCAGTTCCATAAGCATCTGCCTGGCAAGTGCAAGCTCCTGAGTTCAATCCCCAGTACCCCCCAAAAAAAAACTTGAAAAATTCTCATATACATAAAAATAACTACCACTCACATACTAACTCAACTTGTCATATAAAATAGACCTAAGTATGAGTAAAACTTAAAAGTTAAATTAAGATCAGCTCAATAACTTGTAAATATGTGAATCTTGGCTAGTACAAAATTGGTAGAACCTCTTATATATTTTTAGGTACCAGTGCTTTCAAATGTCATAAACCCTGGATAAAAGGTCTGTTAAAAATAGTGGCAGAAAGGAAATGTGTGGCCCATGCATGCAGGAAACCTAGGTCATGCAGGAGGCAGCCTGGGGACCCAGAGACCTAAAATCCAGGACCATGTTTACCCCAGGTGAGCTACATACCCTTTCATTCCAAGCCCTGGCTATAGCCCCCAGCAAACTCCAGCTCACTCAGCATGAGACTGCAAAGGGACTGATAGACATGACTGTGCATAAGACAAATGCCCCTGAAGAGAGAGTGGTACTGGGCGGTTGGCAGCTCCAGGGAGAAACAGTGCCCTGAATGAGCAGCACTGACCTCAAGAAAATTGCCCAGCTAATGTGAGCTGTAAAAACAGAATGTGGTTTTACTGTGAAAGTGGCTCTTTATGCATGGCTGGCTAGAGATGGAGAAGAAACCCATGCTGTGTCTACTATATT